AAAGATTAGAGGACTGGGACTCAGGTGGGCTGGTCGGCCTTTCACAGGCTGAGTGGGTAACTAATGGGCGAATCTGTGAAAGGTTTGAACCCTGGAGTCATTTCATACGTTATTTGAGTTTGATCGTCCGGGTGAACGTAGTCCTGAATAAAACTGTTGTTGTTGACAGTGACTGACGTTTCGACAACCTGTGCGGTAGTCTTGTAATCTTCAGAGTCAAAGTGAGTAGTATCACGTCAGTTAATGGTTTTAAAGTCTGGTTATTGACCTGACTGAAGTTATTGGTCGTCTGTCAGTTAAGACGTGATGTTATCGGCTATGAAGACTCGTAATGTCATTGGTGCGTTTCGATCCGTCTATTGTCACAGTATGTATTGTAATGGGTGAATGTCAGTTGGTGCGCACGTCCTGTTTTATCCCCGGTCACCGTAACGATTCACCATGGAAAATTAAATCGGTCTATATCGGTTTAAAGTGTTAATGCAATAAGTTCGCCTTACCGCCGCATAATAGACCAGAATCAGGGTCTTTGGGACAATCCATGTTGCTGCATTCACAGTATTTTCCGTTCACTATCTCTCCAGGGCGAAGCTAAAAACGCAAATACAGCACTTGTTAGAAAGGAATTTTTGACGGCAGTGTATCCTCTATGAAGTCTCCCAGGGGACTTGGAGAACGCTGACGTCGCTAAATGATTTTCCTCCTTTAAAAAGAGAGGCCTTTCTGGAGAGGAGAGATTTAACAACATAACTGTCCCAGTATGTCTCTTGGACCAAACGAGAGAGATACTGGGATCCAGTTTAGCGTGCCATAGCAAACAGAGCCCACTTACCCCTTCTTTGGTGCAAACACAGTCCCCACAGAGGCAGGTACCTAACCCACTACACTCCTGATCATCAGTTGTATTGTCCCTGTGGACAACATAAAGCACTGTCAGTATGACGCATCCTTTTTCCCCGGATGGACAGATTTAACAGAGGCAATAGGAAGCTTAAGCAACCCAAACGACGCCAACAACGAAAACGTGAAAAAAGGCGCCGAACAATAGCCCTACACGTGCATCACACTATCTCTTGTAAATTTCTTAGACGTCCATCGCATGACTAAGGACGTGAAACTTCCTATTAAATGTGCAGTTTTATAATAGAGACGTTAGCGCAAGAAGATCAATTTTTCCATCTCTTGTTGAATCTAGATACAGTCCTCAACAATTTAACTCCAGGAAAAAAAAAAGCCAAGATTTGAGAGATTGATCAGGTCTGAATAAACGTGATAAAGCTTCAATTCATTTTTCTAGGCGTTTTCACTGACGTTCACTTCGTGGTTACTTTAAAAGCTTCCTAATAATATGTGACAAGAGGACAGGAAAAGGCGCAGAATAGCCTGGACACGAGATATGGTCAAACGCAGGCTTTCGCAGTAACGTCCTGGTGCCTGTAAGAGCTGATCACGTAGCTTAGAAAGCCGTCCATCAGAGAGAGGTGCCCTTTAGAAAGGGCGTGATCTTACACATGTGTCCGTATTTCACAGACCTCCACCTTATACACTAGGAAGTCTTCGTCGTAGAGAGGTGTCCATTTTAGAGCAGACTATTCCCAAGTGTCTCGTACGTGTTATCCTTGAGGAGTAAAATTAAAGCCTGGTCGTTACATTAATCATTGGGTTCGTCTCGATTGCGCGAGTTGCTTCAAAGTGTGTTCATACGATCAAGACGATCATATGGAAATGTGTCTGCTCTGATGCGAGACAATACAGATGATTGTCACCAAGGCAATCGCCAGCATAGAACTAAGTGTATACAAGAACCATAATCAGGGTAGGAGACTACTCCGTTTATAGCTCCTGACGAAGACACTGTATACAGGCTGGTTTCCATCTATTGGCTCGATCGTTCCCAGAAATGTTAGGCCTGAACCAAACATCGAACTTTTAATGAGACGAACTAAACTTAGTGACTTAAGTTCATGAAACGTTCGACGCCTGGTTCAGTTAAGTTCGTCTGAAAGAGTTTGGATCTTACAACATGTTCTATCCGTCTGCTTCAGATCTAGAAGCTTCGCCTGAAGATCGTCTCCGGGACAAACGGCGATCTTCATATACGACGAACTAAACTAATAAATAAAGATTTGTACGATGATGAATATTTAGCATCGTTCGGGAGAACACTTATTACTGGTCTGATTCAGTTGATCGGTTGGACGCGTCCTAACTTCGACGTTTGACTTAACACACGATTTTAACTTTAATTTAGGTTGACTTAATTTAGAGTTTGGTTCGTGTCATGAAAATTTCGAGGTTTGGCCTAGGCCGTTAAGAGATTGAAACGACTTATCCGAAATCAATGTCTATTTTTAATACATCTAGGTCCCTGAGACAAACTCGTATAACAACTTTGTAGAACACACCACTGGATTTATTTAAGGAATTTATCGTAAGTTTTCTTCCTGAGCTGGGAGGAACTTGATTAATTTTCGTCGTCAGTTCATTTTCTCGAGTTTAATATTATATATTTCTCTCTTTTTAAAATCTGGGGAATTAAACAAGTGTTTAATTAAATAAAATTTAAAACAAAAGACAAAACGTCATAGAAAAAACCTTGTACAATATTAAAGTTATACCCTGTCAAGCTTTAGTTATCTATAACAGTTACGGTACGTTTATGGTGAAGTAAGCTACATTCGGTTCATTATAAGAAAATATTTATAACTTCCAAACAATTTTAGGTGATTGAACCAGACATTCCCTTTCCTTGTAGTTTATACTCACTTTGCTGTCGAGTTTATATTGAGAAACTTTCCTTCAGCCGTAAACAAAGTAGTTTGATTCAATCTGAAGACACATCACACACACATACATGCAATACAATCTTGAATCATCATTAACTTTAACGATGTCGGTTAGAACAATCAAGGCGATATTATACTTACATTATATTTAATAAACTACGTAATAAAATATTAGTCAATCCGGTTGCAAGATTTAAATAGATTTAAGACGGCTATGGAAATTAGAATCAAAGTTTACAGTGACATGTTCTCATCTTCAAGGTAAGCAACAATTAAGTTACATGGTTATAAAAGTAGCGTAGACTGTTCCGTGTGTCCTAGTTTTCCGTAAGACCGTCGCGATCGGGCAAGTGCTTTCGCCTTTGTGCTACGGACGGCCATCTTTGGGGGGAGTAGGGGAGATCGGCGAGAAACTCCTCCCAAACCGTCCTCTGCACCCTAGGTAGATTTGAGACTCATCTCCAGGCTTGCCTCGGAACATTTGATACAAACATAGCCGCATGTAACGTAGTCTGCTACATGTGGTCATGTAACGCAAAGCGCTCGATCTCGACGATCGTCCGGAAAAAAAAGGGACTGTAGCCTGCGAACACAGACGCATTTCCGGTGGTCGCTTCTCTCCACCCGGAGAAAGAAGCGACGACCGGAAATAAGTCTGTGTTCGCAGGCTAAGAGGACTGGAACAGTCTAAAAGTAGTTCAACTCTTAAGGCAAAGACAAATCCTAATTGTTACTTTGGGAGCACGGCGTCTGTGCTTTTTATTCATTTACTGACTGAATGATTACTATATTTAAATAAAAGTCTTTACTAAACGGAAAATTAATTTGTATCGTTTAGGTTTTCTCATCTCTTGTTTGTTTTACGCATTTATACATAGACTTTTAGCTGAATCTCATAAGTATTGACTTGATTATGTCGTTAGGCCGAGGGCGAAACGCCGTCAGTTTTTCATAATTTTATCACTCGTTAAATTAATGATTCTAGTAAAACATTCATTCCCAAAAATGAGATTACATTTGTAATGTTTCTTGGTTATCTTAATTGAGCGTGGGTGATTCAACTGTATCAGATAACAAAAAACCTGAACAGCCCAACTTAATATGACTTGCCAAATTATCAGATCTTCCTTTTAAATCTACTTTGGTGCTCAATAAAACCCCTTGTAAAATTTATTAGTTGAAAAAAGGGCCTCTCTAATAGTAGTAACTCAGTATCTTCGCGGGTCGCGGATCACGGACAAATGACGCGACCCGTGAAGATTCTGTACTCAAACTAAATGACTGAGGCGTGATCAAACCATACTTTATACACTGGTTTGGCAACAGTTTTGACTCCTCCGTGCACTGGCATTTTCTACCATCCCTATAAAATAAAATAACACATAAATTATTGTAAATAACTACTTTGTGCGAAAGGGTTCTATGGCAACAAACGCTTTACTTGAATGGTCACACCAGAAAATTTCATATCTAGCCGAATGGATAGATCTCCTCCTTCAAACGGTCTCTTTTTTTTCGGCCAAAAACTATCTCGGCGAAAGAAAAAGACAAATCTACCAAAACTATCTTTTTTCTCTTCTTCTCCTTTCTTCTCCGTCGCTCTTTCTTTTCCGGCCTTCGTTAGTGTGATTTTCGAGCTTCTTAGGCGCAAAAACCTGTCTTGTGACCCTTTTCCACTTAAATGACAAAACATTTCGCTAGGTCAAAAAATCGGCTGGATATACAGACGAAAAAACTATAGCAAGTCAGGAATCTACGTCTATAATTCACTTGTCTTCGAAAGTGAAAAAACGCTCAAAACAAAAGAGAAAAGAGCAACATTAAACTTGGCAACGAACCACTTTACCACGAATTACGTTTGGAAAAATAGCAGTCTTAAACAAAGCTTGAACCAAAGATCTTCGCTACTGGGATCTACGACTCACACAAAAGCGCTTCGAAAGGATTTAGTTCCAAAGTATCTTCTTTATAGCTAATTTGAAAGACTCTGAATTCAACAGACTCTCTGGTAAGGGGTGGGTTGAAGCAAATGGAAAGAAAATGCAAGGAGAGGGTGAGGGAGGGGAAAAAAGAACGGAGGGAGGGAGGAGAGCTTTTTCTTCTCTCCATATTTCTCTTTGGAAATATGGCATCGGTCGGATTTTATTTGACCTTATATAACAAAGAGGCCTCGTTCACAGTAAACTGTTGTTTTTTACATTGCGCACTGATTGTGGACCTAGGCACTAACGTGTGGTCTTGCACGAAACCACGAGCCACAAAAATTAACTCATCAGCTGTAACTGACAGACTTACCATCCTTTGTTACAAATACACTGTCCACAGGTTAATGTTCCATTTCCACTACAATGTGGACTGGACTTCTCCTAAAAAAAATAAAACACAAACGTCTTGAGAGATAAACAAAACAGGGAGAAATTAGTCTGATTTTCGCCAGCTATTTTCTGGCCTCTAAACAACGACTTTTGTCCCCCGACGAACCAAATTTCTATTATTTTCAGCTTGTGAAAATGAAATAATCAGCATGTCACGAGCGTGGGAGAAAGAAAAATCTGAGTCCCGACAGGATTTGAACCTATGACCTCCCAAACACCGGGCGGGCACTCTGTTCCCTGAGTTAAGGCGAACTCATGGAGAGCGAGGCGATATACTAGGTTCATATCTGACACGCGTGCTGCATACTGCTAGGATCAGCAATGTCGAGATCGTGCTGCATGATGAAAGAATGAGAGTTGGTGAATTTTAAGCTTGGTTATTTACAGCTTCCTTTGAATGCCATTGATTTACCTCCTTACATTTTTATCTAATCACGTTTTCAGGAGTAGTGCCAAAATAATTCCAGTACAGAATAATTTTCTTAACAAATACATCTTCTAATATTTTTCTTCAGGAAACCTGAGGGATGCCTACAATTTACACACACCATTCGGGTGGAAATCTTGTGCATAAACATAAAACTATAGAATTTGGCGTGGTGAGAGAAAGACCCGCTACAAAGTATATCTAAATTAGCCTAAGTGTTAACTAAGTGTTCCGTGTGTGTATCTATTTCATTGCGTGATGGCCACCGAGTTTGATTATGGAATTACAACCCGTTCAGAATACTGCCGGCATGCAGTTGATAGTTTGAACGTTAAACCTCAATTAAGATCAAAAAAAGTAAAGCCATTCTGTATCATGCAGACATTTCCAAACAATATTTCTTGGTTTGCCACTTGAAAATCGTGTTTAACGTTTTGCAAGAATTAACGCAAAGGAGTAGTGATGTCACTGGACGGCATTAGCGGCCGGCAGATTCAGACGTTACTGAGTGAGTAATAACGACTCGAAGTAATCGGATGAAATTCAGGCTATATCGAAATCAGCTGAGCAGACTGTAAATAGCAGAAAAATTGCATCGTCTCAAATCACAGCCCATACTTTCTGAAGCTTCCCAGATGGAATGCCGCAAACCATTTGACTTTCTAACCGGAATTTCCGGTTTTTCCATTTAAATGGTAAGTACAGATGTACCCCTGGTCATTAGCAACCTGAGAATATAACACAAGTCCCTGGTTATTCTTTGACGGTTTGAAAGTGAATTCCTTGACCTTTCCAGGCCTTGAGCGTGGCAACCTCACAAAAATTCAATTATTTTAAATGTGTGTGAAAGGTTTGAACTCAGCAGTCATTTCAAAAGTAGGTTGAGTATGATCGTCCGGGTGAACGTAGTCCTGAATAGGACTGTTGTTGTTGACAGTGACTGACGTTTCAACAACCTGTGCGGTAGTCATCGTTAGAGTCAAAGTGAGTTGTATCACGTGAGTAGATGGTAGGTTACTAACCTTACTGGTCAATTAAGTCGTGATGTTATCGGCTGTGAAGACTCGTACTGTTAACTGACAGAGGACCAATAACGTCGCAACTTAATTGACCAATCAGGTCAATAACCAGAGTTTAATACCATCAACCGACGTAATACAATTCACTTCGTCTCTGAAGATGACTACCGCACACGTTGTCCAAACGGCAGTCACTGTCAACAACGACAATCCTATTCAGGACTACGGCCTACCTTAACCCGGACGACCATACTCAACATACTTAACTTGTAATGTGTATATACTTTTTCCTCCTCTTTTTCGCACTGGCAGCTGCAGACAAAATCCAGGTTTATATCCACATTGCCAAACGGCGTCACCAAAGAAAAGCTGTTTAAGAAAGAGAGCATTTCAATCAGAAGTTACACACCAACTAACACCTTTGCAGATTATACCGACCAGGGGCCCCTTGCTCGAAAGTCCCGAAAATTAACAGGCCTAAAAAGCTATTTTACATTCAAGAGAGGGGTTTCAACAGTTTTGCAGACAACATGATATAACTATCAGTTATCAAAACAAAATGGACTGGTTTGCTTTGCAGGACCCGCATTTTGGGCCTGAACAGTTACCGGGACTTTCGAGAGACGCCTCCCTCGAATGATCGCCCCCGGCTATTATTCGAGGAAATACCGTATCTGTATTACTCACTTGCATTTTTCGCGATTCTTTATTTATTAATTGTACACACTTTTTGAAATGTTCTTATCCTAGTTTTATATACTTTAGTTAGCTCATAATTATCTGTCTTATCTTTTAACTTAGGGTAACATATAAGACCATCCTACTGTCCCTTTCATATCTTAGTCGGCTTCCCTTATCATCTCCATCAATAATAAATCAAATTAGGTTTGCTGAATGTTTTAAGACAATGCATACCTTTTCTCTTTGAGGTTACAGTCTTCCACAGTCACCGAAACCTCAAATGACACCTGCAATTAAATGACTGCTTAAATTCTTCTGTTCTTAAACCCATCAAATGCCAGCAAATAGAAGAGGGAATGTACCCTTGGTTTTTTTATTCTGTCAACGCTCCAATTCAAGAAATACCTTATGCTTTGCTTGTGTTAGTTCACTTGTTACAAAAATACTTCTTGAAGATTGTAGCTTTCGTTTCAAAAACTATTATTGAACTGAGTGTTTTATGTTACAACCAAACTATGTGTGAAGTAGACCAATAAAGTGATTTAGATTTCGTCCAAAAATAACAATTGTAACTTATGCCCATTCTCCCCAAGCCCTTGAGTTAACGCCAAAGGTGATTAAGAAAGCTAAAAATATATTTAAAAACTCACTTCTTGTCCGATTTGAACACCTGTACAAGTCCTTGATCCTACTAGTTTTTCATTTCTTAGAACAAAAGACATCAATTAGGAACTAAATCAAACATACTAATGATGAAAAAAAAAAATTGCACAATTAAAGAACAAGGACATTGCCCAATAGGCTATTCCGAGTTACCCCAAGCCTCTGTTTCAAAGCGAGGCTAAGTCCGAGGCTTAAGTCCCGTCTGGTAGTCCGGGACAAGTTACTCTGTGTGCAAGCCCGATCTCCTTCGCGAGCCGCGCGAGAACGCGCGAGCGAGCTCTCGCCTCTCCTCCAAATGGAGAGCTTGCTCGCAGGTTACCGCTTACTTGCCCATTGGGCAAGGTTCCAGGCAAGTCATCCTCTAACAAAAGCAGTATACGTAACTAAGACGAGTAAGAAGTGGCCCGGAAAAGTAAAATATGAGAGTTGCTTGTCCAAAGCACAAGACAGAATTCAAGATGTTTTCGAGCCCTGGAGATGAAAATGGTTGTTTATTCTTATGCAAATAGGGCGATTTTCGTGTGACCTTGAAATGAACAAGCGCGAACAAAACAGAAAGAACAAACGAACGGAAATAGAGCGATTTGATTGGTTTGTCGAACGGAAATAGAGCGATTTGATTGGTTTGTCGAACGGAAACGAACGCGCGTGGCTTTTGGTTGGTTACGCGAACGCTCGGTTGAAAAAACTTCACGCCCGAAGAACTTTCTAGAAATCAATCGATACTTCACTTTGACGTCATACTGCAACACCATTGGCCAATCGAACAATGCCCTCTCCATATTAGGGTTTTCTTTGGCGGGAAAGCGAAGAGTCCCTGTTTTGATCTTTTCATCCATTGGCTGATAATACAAATAACGAACACTTACCGAAACCATTTTTCAAGGTCATACAAAAATCGTTGCAAAAATCATTTTCACAAGGTTTTGCACTTAGCCTCGTTTTGAAAGAAAGCGTTTTTCGTACTCGGGAAATGGCCTATTTAAATACCTTTTGGCCCGAAAAGTGATTAGGGAGGCCCCAGGAAATAACAGCTACAGAATGAAACTGCTCGAGGTAAATATACTGCAGAAAAATTGTTTTCAGTTTTTTAACACTGTCCGGCACTCTTAGAGACGGGAAAGCGCGCGGAAAGGACTAAACACGACTTCCGGTGCTCAATTTGCCGCTCTGCCATTGGTCAAGCCAGTTATTTGATTTGCGCGTGCTGTCGTCAACTGACGTTCCCGTTCTGTTGCTAAGGAGCTTAAGCAGCGACATTTTTGAGCGACGCACGTCAACCGGAAGTGAGGTATTTTCCCTCTTAACATGCCTTGATGATATAAAATTTGTATTCCTTAGCTTCTTTACTGTTATAGAGGCGATTTGACTGAAAATTTGCGCGAAACCACCGTCAAAAAATGAAAAAAGGCCACTTCCGGTTGACGTGCGTCGCTCGAAAACGTTGCTGCTTAAGCTCCCTGCTAAATCACCCTAACAACGCTGGTTCTAACTTTTGAGTTTGCTGACCAAAACGTTTGGTGTGACCATTCCAATAAATCCTTTTTGGCAGTACTTTTGTTTTTCGGCATTTTACAAAATAAAATTAACAAATTTTGTTGAATTTTGACTTTGGTAACTTCTGGGATTGAAAGAGTCAAAAGAAGATATTTGTATTACTATTTTTTTAGATTTCCGACTTGGCCATTAACACGGGTAGAAGTAAGGTTCATTACGAAAACCAACGCTTTATAGCGATAACGAGAAATAAAGCTTTAAGGACAGCACACTTACGGACAATATGCCGTGTAGTTAACTTTGACTCCTTCGGGTGCTGTGTCACGGATTGTTTGTGTTTGCGCAATTTTCTGAAAGGAAATTTTAAAACATTCTTATTTACTTCATAGCAGCGGAAGGCCTTTAAAAGAAATTAGTTACACGATCAAAATATTGAGCCCTGGTTACAGTCGGCGTAAAACCCGTCTGGACACTTTGTCCTCACCGCTTTCCAAACTTTTCCAACACCATCTACTTCAAAAAGAAAGTATTGCAGACTTTATTTTCCCCTATTCCCCCTTCGTGATGCAGTGCTAATGCTCAAGCTACCTGTAGAAGGCAACAAATACGCCAACTATCGTAAGGGAGGAGGGGGACAACTATCGTGAGGGAGGTGGGGGGTTGGAGTGTGCAGGATTGGAGGGAGGGTTCCAGATTGATTATTCTCCGAAATAGAGCCAGCATAGCAAGCGCTTTACGAGCCAAGCGAGGCGAATGCTGCATTTTGCGTGAAGCACGAGAGGAGGGGAGGATTCGCGCTAGTCTCGCGCTTCGCGCAAAATGTCACGTTCACCTTGCTTGGCTCATAAAGCACCTGCAGCTTACCGAAATACAACTATAGGAAACAACTATAGACCTTTATTACCGGTAACACTACCTATAAATGGGTTCTGAATTTTTATGCTCTTATATTACTTCAATGCGCAAATAAAAATATGAAACTTTTTATCGGCGATTACTAACTCAGGCTCAAGGACCACTGAGAATGAAGGGCTTAAATTTCGCTGACTTCAAAAAAGAATCACGAAAACAAAGCAGATTAACACAAACTCACCTCATAAGCTTGCCTTATGAGCTGAACAATGTTAGAAGAATCTTCCTTTAACAAGGCTGCCACGGCTCCAGACTCATCGCCAAAAAAATGAACTAATTCCTAAATAAACAATTAATACGTAAATATTCCTAAGTAGGCTGAGTATGATCGTCCGGGTGAACGTAATAATGAAGTGACTCCTTGGTTCAAACCTTTCACAGTTATATATAAACAGTCCGGAATATCCCTAAATTTAAGGACAGGGCCAACTGGTCACGCGACACTTTTCAACCAATGAGAAGGCGCGCTTGTTTTTATCAACAAACAAATCAAACATCGCCGCAGTGATCAAATATTTTCAAAACAGCGGACGGAGTAGGACAGAATCAGTCATCGTTTCGAGGCTCTCAGGCATATTTTTAAGACTTTTCATGAGGCATACACAATTTTTTTAAGTGGACAGCGTATCGGAAGCCATATTGGAAGTGTCTCGGGAAATATTCAGCACATTTTGTGGCGTATTTCTTCTTTTAAACAACGCAATGTATGGGCGAGATTTTGGTCGGTTATCAAGGTAGGTGAACAAGTATCTATTATTTTTTCGATTCACAGATTTTTTTTCGAAGTTCTAGATATTTTTCCTCGATTGTCATATCGATTAACTTTTATCATGTTGAATGTGGGGATGGTAGACAACCTAGAATTTTGGTAGACAATTTTTGAATTCCGAGGTTTAAAACGCGTACGTTTTCCATTCCCGGATTTCTGACAGAGCCATGTTATTACTTTTTTTCGCTTTAGTAGGAGCCTTTGCCTATTTTCTTTTCAAGGCCAAAACAACTTTATTAGTCTTATGGATATTCACGTTCAACATCTCGCCTCACTTTGCCGAATTTGTGGGGATGAAATTGAAGATCATAAGCGCAAGGTAGATACTAACCGCTTTGTTTCTGAAATTCACCAAATCTGGAAATATTTAATGTCGCTGGATTCTCCAAATGTTCATCCACCGTTAAAAAACAATCAAGAAAGAAGGCAAATTTCAAGCGTAAATGATGTACTTCGCTTCTCATTGAACATGCACTAAATCTGGGATAAAATTAAAACATTGCAGGTACTACAGCAAGCAAGGAAAGCACCAGATGCGTGAAGTCAACATGAAACAACACCAAAAAACAAACAAGAAAAATTAATAAATTTGAACTACTTTTTATTCTTGTTCTGATCACTAGTTCTTTGATTCTTGTCCTGTAGAAGCTAATAGGTGGTACCAATCCTGTTTTGTATGATCTCAACAAATTTTCACGCTCTCTCTAAGGCTATTTTTACACGGGACCAGTTTGCTTCTATCAAAAATCTTGCAAGCCATGCCAGTGAAGCCACGACCTCTACGCTCAGTCCGGAATCAGCTCGAACACTCTAATGATTCCTTGCAATGAATAATGCTCTTATTCTCTTACATGAAATGTTTTCTTTGAAATATTAAATGTCAAACCTAGACGAGTACTGTAAGCTCATCTTTAATTCTGTTCGTCGACTCCGTCCGTTGTTTTGAAAATTTTTGAGCACTGGGGCGATGTTTTGAATGTTTGTTGATACACACAAGAGCGCCTTCTCATTGGTTGAAAAGTGTCGCGTGACCAGCTGGCCCTGTCCTTAAATTTAGGGATATTCCGGACTGATAAATATTGTTATTATTCTTTGAAAATATTTCCCCATTTCTAATTGGAGTAAATTCCCGTTCTTATTCTTCATAACCAGATGGCGTGCAATTTTGGAAATCGTATTGATATCGACAGAAAAAAGGGATTACCGTGCGGTGCCCCCCCCTCTCCCCATCCCCGAGCGGAAACTCCATGTGAGGTTCCACCCCAAAGGGGGTGCTTTTTTTCAGGCTACCTGTGTATAAAAGGGTAGGGATTCCGCGAGATAGTATACCAAAGGATAGGGAAATTTGCCATTTTGCTGTTTAAAAGGGTATTTAACTAAAAACTCAAACCGACAAACCTTATGGCTGTATCAGTTTAATTAAACGCTACTTAAATTGACAAAAGGACTTACAGTTGGTAGGTATCTCAAAAGGGCACCATTTTTGAATTGTGTGGGAGGCAAATGGGTAAGAAGTTGGACCTTGGACCGGAGTCTCTCCGTATAAAACTTTGTAGAGTAGTTCCCCGAGGACAGTGGAAGTGTAGAGCTGGGGAAACGGAAGAGGACTTTCCAAGGTTATGCGAAGACGAAATGACTGAACTATTGTCTCAAAAACTGAGTAACCTGCGAGCAAGCTTTCCGGGGCGCTCTGGCGGCAGGGCGACAAAAAGGAAGGGGAGCTTGCGGGCCTGAGTATTGGCCCGGCCGCAGAAATCGAACCCGAGACCTCCCGCTCTGCAGTCAGGCGCTCTACCGACTGAGTTACTAGAGCACTTTAGATTTGAGGACGCCAACGAGTACTAGGAGTTTCGAGATTTAAGTTAAAGTTTTTGCACGTGTTCTTAAAAAAAAAAAGAAAAGTTAGTACGGTTATTTATACTGAAGAAGGTTCAGCCCTCTTCCGATGGCAAAATGATAAAACGTTTTACATTTGATAACTTGTTCCCGCCACTACGACATTCTCGCTAAAATCCGTTGTGGAATGACGACACCAAACACGTTTTCCCGCGAAAATGACGTTGGTTGACACGCGTCCCCTAGTTAGCATTTAGAAAATCTCGTACTCGACTACTCGTAGTCGTCATCGTCCTCGAACCTAAAGCTGTCTTATGTATCCTGCCACGGTAACATGGCAAGATGACAACTGTTATATGAAAAATCCCTTCATATCCTGAAACTGCCGAGGAACAAGGCGCGGAGACAGTAACGAAATTCACCTCAAATTGCTTGAAGACTTCTGACTTGTTTTGGTTTATAGCAAAGATTGGCGACACTTGTTCATCTATCAGAATTTTCTTGAGAAATCCAGGAGATGGATAGTCCTGTTTAGCAAACAAATTATATGATGACTTTAGTAAATCCACTAGCAACAGTCACATTACTGTTTAGTGATTTAACAGACGCCCTCTCTCGAATACACTCGTCTTGTCCAATACACGCTCCCCTATGCTTTTAAGGTTGTATTAGACGCTCTTCTTTAGTAAACACCCCTGTTTAAATGACGCCCTGTACGACAGTTACTCCAAAATACTAGAAAATAATCTGTTTCTTGATTGTTTGTCCATTATTAAGTTCAAAGTGAGGATTCTGACGTCGACGTACCAAAAAGAACTGAGCGCAAGCGGAGAGTTTGACTGCCTTACCATAATTGTTGATGCTGTATATCGCCCATTTGCTGTGTAACAGTGTCCATCATTTGGTTTTACCACTCCACCGAGCTGCACACAACAAAAACAACAACAAAAATAAAGCAATTATTAATTAAAAATAATGAATCAATAATTATTGATACTGAATTAAAAATTCTTTATCGTAACCAAGAAGATGTTTTTTTCTCATAATCACAGCAGGATTAGCTCAGTCGGTAGAGCGCTTGACTGCAGGGCAGCACGTTGTGGGTTCGATTCCCGGGACCGGGCCAATAGGTTCTAAAAAAGGTACCGTCTTTGCCCTTTGTCTTTTACTAGTAGAGCGAGCGAAACGCGAGCGCGCGTGAACTCGCGTGGGATGATTTTCACGCGCGCTGGCGTTTCGCTCGCTCTGCTATCCCTGAGGACAAATGGGGGACTACTCGTAGTCTACCCTGCAAACGGCCAAACTACAATGTATAACAATAACTTTAAACTTTAACAATAACATACCAAACCGTCACCAGCAACATGATAACCAGCGTCCGTTATAACAATAACTAGTCTTCGAGCTGACTGCTTGTCGGTCCATCCTATTTCCTGCCAAAATCAAAACATGGAGTCAAAAATCAGAGGACTGACCAAATGCTACAGTAGAAACCCGCTAACTTGTACTCCGATGACTCCAACTCGCTCCTAAGTCGAACTAAATCTCCAACACATTGATTTAAATTTACCCTGACGACTTGAATTCTGGCTCTTGCAACACACCACAGATGCCATCCAATTCGCTATTCTTGTCGTGTACTCGGTAAAAATACTAAAGCTTACACTACAGCAGTTTCATGTTAATTAGTGCAAAGAATATATCAGACCATCAGAATAAGAATTCTTAATCACGCTACAGTCTCTGATGAGATAAGTTTAATTTGCACTGCACTAAGAAGTGCTGAAAAACTGGCAAACAATCAATTATTAACATGGAAAATTAAATACTCAGTTAACCTTGATAGTACTTAAACACCCCCTAACTCGAAAATCTTTTTTTTCGTTTAGAGTTTCGAGTTCACAGGTTTCAACAGTACATTAAATAGGTAATATTTTATTGCATAGAATAGTTATAAAATATTGGGTCCATCAGTGGATATGAACTGATAAAATCACACGACGTACATGTAACCATTCAAATAAAGTCTCCAACA